TCTCTCTCTCTCTCTCTCTCTCTCTCTCTCTCTCTCTCTCTCTCTCTCTCTCTCTCTCCTTGCTCTTCGCTCTCGCGAGCGACTCGCGTCCTCCGTCTTGGGAATGCTATGAGAAACCACATCATCGTTTGCTCTGGTTCAAAATACCAGCTGCCTCGATAGAATCAACTAAAGAATATCACTGATTTCAAATAGTTCTGACAATTTCATAATTCTAAAGTTTTACAACTTTCTGATAAGGATTTTCAATATAAATTAACTGTCAAGTATTTATATGTATTCTTGTCCATAACATGCCTTTCTCTTCGATAAATAGTTTTTTTTCATTTGAAGTTCAAAAATATTATTTAAAAAATTCACACTTAAAATCGCCATTCCCGCCTTTTTGGAACGAATCTATTAAGAATTTGCAACTGTTGTAAAATTCTTTAATATTATTGCTCTTACACTTAATTCCTCACTAGATCTAAATGTATACACCAATCATATCAAAGAATTTTACAACAGTTGCAAAGTTGCTTTCTTTGTTGAGCTATTCCTTATGCCTGTCCTTTTTTTCTTTTATTTTACATTGAGACGACTTGCCTCACCGGCTCACTAATAGCTCGAAAGAACTCTTATCTTAGATGAGAAGGATGATTAGAGGAGTCGAAGGATTACAAAGAGGAACAGATTGCCGATCCCGAATACCAATTAATCGGTCATTTTCCGATTGCATTCTATGCGTACACGTAGTAAAAGTAATTACGTAGTAAAAGTAATTACACTGGCTTAATACTTTCTTACTCTGTATTGCAAAATCGTGCTCGTTGATCGTATCGTTCTCGTTTGTCATCGGAGAAATTTTTCATTAAGAAACATTATTAATTTACAAACGTGATCTCTTATCTGTTTTCCGTTTAATTCACTATTAGTACACAGATAAATCTAAATCAAGCAAATCAAGCGAAAAAACTCTAATTATATTCGAATCTAAGAGGCATAACACTGCAGAAAAACTTAAGGAAATCAATGTGTTATCTAGGTCTACAATCATGTTTTAAGAGGCCGTAAGTCGCAAAGCCTTAAGAAACCAATCATAGTTGAAATGAAAAAAAATAATTGA